TTTTAGTTTAGTTGCTTTTGTTTAGTTTGTTTTATTCATTTATTATGAATACCAGGTCAGGAAAACCTGTGATGTGTTTCATGTTATTTCTGAAAAGTTGTCAAGTGTATTTTGTTCTGTTTAATATCTCTAAAAGTAAGTCATTCTAGAAAAATAATGAGGGTTTTTTTCTCTTTTTTTTTTGCTTTGAATGAAAATCTTTGCTTTGATAAGTGTAAGGCAGATAATTTTGACTTCTTTATCTTCCTTAGGTCCAAAATTATTTAAGGAACCCAGCAGCAAATCCAACAAACCCATTATTCACAATGCTATATCTCACTGCTGTCTTGCTGGAAAAGTGAATGAACCACATAAGAACTCAATATTAGAGGTAAACACTAAAATCATTAATGCACTCTCAATCACATGGGTCTGTAATGCTGATTCCATAGCCCCACTGCTGTGCAGTGTGAATTCCATTTCCTATACTGTGGCTGTAGAGAGCATTTTTTGCTTTCCCCATGGAAAACACCATCCCATATTTACTGTGTATTTACTGGGAACTCTGTACTTAGAGTTCTGCTTTTAGGTTCATAAAGGGACTGGAAAATTCTGGTAAGAGGAGCAACTCTTCAGCTTAAAGCTTGGCATGGTTGTCCCAGTGAACAGCCCCTGTACCTGGTTGTTTTTGCTGCAGGAGCTGGAGAAATGTGATGCCAACCACTACATCATCCTGTTCCGCGACGCCGGCTGCCAGTTCCGAGCACTTTACTGCTACTACCCCGACACGGAGGAGATCTACAAGCTCACTGGGACAGGGCCAAAGAGCATCACCAAGAAAATGATTGATAAACTCTATAAGTACAGCTCGGACAGAAAACAGTTTAACGTGATCCCAGCCAAAACCATGTCAGTGAGCGTGGATGCTCTCACCATCCACAACCACTTGTGGCAGGCCAAGCGACCCGCGGTGCCAAAGAAGGGCCAGACTCGGAAATGACACCCAGCTCCTGGGGAGAAGGTTGGCTCACTGGGATTGCATTGACAGAAGACATGTTTACCATTTTCCTCCAGTTTGGTATGAAATGTGCAGAACCATAGACATTTTTTAAGAAGCTTCGGGACAGAGAACCGTGGATGCAAGTTCTTGAGGATGAAGGAACGTTGCCAGTGTTTTTTATGAATGATGAATCTGCTGTTACACCCAATGCTAACTACTGTGGCTTTCAGCTGACGAGGGACTGTGCATGTAGCAAGATCTTGAACAAGTGGATTTCCTTTTACTTGAAGCTTTTCATCGGTACAAATTGGGAATAATTTAATTCTCTTTCCTCTCCACCTCATTCCCTCCTTTCTCCTGGCATTCTTAAAAGTTGGCAAGCTCCGAACTTAGGCAGAAGGATTGAACAGATCTTGGGTGAAGTGCTTTGGGTTTGGTTTGGTTTTTTAAACAGTCTTTAGGGAAATCTTCCTTTCAATCCTTTTTGAGGAACTGTTGAATACATCCAGTTGTTGTACTGTACCTACTGCCAACGTAAGTCCAGCTCTCAGATTTCTGATAAAAGCCCCAACTTGTGCTGCTCAGAACAGAGTTTACTTGCAGGATCTGTGTAGGATAAGCATTGCAAGGATTGCAAAAAAAGCCAGTCTTTTTCTAAAAAAAAAAACAAATATAAAAAATTGTTCACAAATGTAAAGATCTCTGGAATACAATCATGAATAGGCATAACAGGTGCTACTAGCTGGAATGTGCCTGCCTGAAACTTGAGGCAAGCTGAATGGAGCCCAGTGATTACTGATTTCAGTTTCAGGTAGTGTCCTAAAGATTTGTTTGCTTTAATAAAGATGGATGCTGGTAGGTATAGAACATTTCCACTCTGAGCACGCTACTCCTGTACGATGGTGCACTTAATGATCACAGATTTTAATGTTTTTATTACATCATGAAATGTAATTCTACTTTCTTTGTCCTGTCTTTATTCTGAATGAGCAGCATGCTCTACAATGAAGAGTGTGTTATGTTTTTTATTTTGGGTGATATATTAATATATATTGATTTGTTTTTCTCATTTGAAAGCAATTTTTAAACAGAGACATTTGCATTTGTTTCAAAAGCCCAAATAAGTCGAATGGCTTGGATTTCTTTTCATGTTGAAATATTAAATCTTGAGTTATGACCTTAAAAGTCTTTGTGTTTCAGCAGATTAAATTTTTGTCTGTGGTAACAGGGTACATTTGCAGTTCCTTTTTTTTTTTTTTGGTTTTTGTTTTTTTGTTTTTATTTTTAACCACTCCCATGTCTCATTCTTGGCCCCATCTGGTTCCCAAGCAGGTTTCTGTAGCTATTCCCTAATTAATTTAATCTGCTAACCAGCTCCTGCTCCCTGGGTTTGACACTTACTACCTGCAGCTCCTGTAGGTTCTGACGTGGGTTTGCACATGTTTACTTTTCTTTGAAGTGTTACTTGAATTTGTGTCTCTCGAGTGCAGAAGGCCCTGCCCGTCCTCGAGAGGAACTGAGCTCTAGATCTCTAAATCCAGAGTGATTCTTGACCTTGGAGATGATGGAAGGTGCAGAGAGTTATTGTACATAGGGGAGCTGGGGGATGGCATGAAGTGAAGCTAGCTAGAGCAAAGTGAAGCTCTTCCAGTGCAGTCTCCCCGTGGTTTTTCCCCTTCCAGGACTCCCTGACTAGGCTGCTGCAACTTTGTAAATTATGTTAGATAGTTTGCTGCTTGTAAATAATTAAAGGCTTTATGGTTTCTAAAGTGCTGAGTATTAAACACCGTCATGAGTGGAACTTTTGTTACCATGCTTTTCATGCTTGTGCTTTATTTCTCACTGTTTGATATTATAAACCATATTTATTTTATGAAACACTGAAATTTAATAAAAATCATTAACTGATTTCCTTTTTATTTCATGTGTACTTTTGTTGGTGTGACACTTCATCCCCTCCAAGAACTAATACACTTTAAAGATGTGCTGTTCTGTTTGGTAAAGCTTCACCTGCAAGGACCTGCAAGGACTTTGTGACAAGAGCTTGCAGTGGGACCAAAAAACTCTCAGAAAAATGGAAAATAGTTAAAGGATTAATTTCATCTGACTCTTGAATCTGTCTGCTGGGGCTCGTTTGATCTGTGCAGTGACTCAGTGGCAGAATTTTGGTAATTTTCTAGTCACTGTTGAGGTTTGGGTTCAATTTATGAAATTCTGAATACAGAGGATTTCTCACTGGTTTTAGTGACCTCATGTTTAACCTTTCCCTGCCAAGCACAGAAAATCCTAATAAGGACATAATAAAATCCTAAAATCCTAATAAGGTGATCTGGACCCTGCTAACTTCTAAAAATCCCTGCTTAGAAAATGGGGTTTTGTCCTTGCAGAGCACAGTGTGAATGCCTGAAATGAGGGAAATGTGTGGGAATCCTGTTCCCTCAGCCCCAGGGCTGGGATCCCTGCAGGTAAATGGAATTAAATTGGCATCCTGCAGCTTAAGCTGCTTGTTTGGGTTGGTTTTCCCCAGGATTAGAGCCAGGGTTGTTCCCTCTCAGCTCTGTCCGAACAAGCAGGGCTGGATAAAAACTCCTCCAGCTGCTCCCAGAGGTTCTGCCTGTGCTTCCTGGGCAGGAGGAGGAGGTGGGAGCTCTGTCTGGGAGCCCTCTCTGTTTCTTCCTAACAAATCCAAGACTGTACATCTTTAAAGTGCTTTAAGTGCAATCTGTGCCTTTCCAGCTCTGTCCATCAGTCTGTGTGTTCCATGTGCTCTTTGCATCTGTACTTGGTGTGGTTTTGTCCCATTTTCATCCTGCTCTCAGCTGGGGGAAGAGTTTCAAGCCAATATAATCCAAAATAATTTGGAAAATACTGATTTACTTTGGAGGCCTTCACCTACACTGGGAGGGCTGAGGGTGCCAAGAAAATAAAGGTGATTTTTGTCTCCACTGCACTGGGGAGTTGAGTGTAGAAATCTCTGGAGTTTGGGGCTGCAATTTGAAGTAAGAATGACAGAAATGAGATCTCAGGACTTGAATTTTCCATTCCTTTTGCTTTTTTTCCCCCCTCAAATCCCAGAACTGATGACTGGAGCCGTGTCAGACTACCCCAAGCCCCCTCACTTTCTATTTTATTTGATTTATTGTTTAAATAGAGCAACAATGAGGTGTCTCCTGTTCACTCTGAGCTGACTTTCCTGGGAATTTGCTGCTGCTCCCACCCCTGGAATGGAGCAGTCCTTGAGGATGTGGACTAAGCTGCTGTGCTTATCCAATTAAGTGGTTTGCAGTTAATTAGGGGGTTAAATGTAATTAACTTTCAGCAGTTGAGGGACAGGCAGGTGGCTGAGGGAGATGGGTTTGGGGGTCAGGACATGCCAAGCATCCTCGGGATGAAGCTGTGCTGGGATTCTCCAAGGACATCACTCCAAAAAGAAGATTTTGGAGAAATTTAGTACCATTTTAGTGCTGTTCATCTGCAGAACTGAAGAAATCTGGGAATTTTGGGGCTGTATGCCTCAGATAAGTGAAAGTTTATTATATAAACTTCTTCAGACCAGTTGAAAATTGGAATATTCATATAGTCCACTATAATTAAGTGTATTTTCCACAATGCATTAAAAATTTTACAATTAATTCCAGGCTACCACTCAGACATTGGACTTCTCTTACCGTGTAGTAAGTGAAAAATAATTACAGGTTTTTAAATTTTGTTACTCTAAAAATAAATATATATTTTATATATATATATATATATATATATATAATATTTATTGATATATATTTATATATAATACATATTTATACATATATAAATATATATAATATTTATTTATATATTTATATATAAATAATATAAATATTACAATTATATTAAATATAATATAAATATATATTTATATATATATATATATTTATATATATATAAATATATATAATATTTCCCTGAGCTTTCTGTTGCAGGTTTGTTGAGGCTTGGTTTGGTTTTAGAGGGTTTGAAGATTTCAAGCTTCCCATGGGCCTATGAAAGGTGCATTTTTTACTCTTCTGCTGCAAGTGGTAAGTTCAGCTCTTCTTTGAAAGAAATTAACCCAAATTTTTAAGGAAAATGCCATTCCAGAACTGGAATTTTCTGCCCCTTCCTTCCCCAGCCTGTGCTGAGCACGGGTACGTTCCTGTTGTAAAAGTTACAGGGTGGATTTAATTGACTTGTCTGTGCTAAATATAAATTCACTTTTATCTTGGTGCTGAAATCCTGTCATAGTTTTCTGATCCATCCCTCTGAACTTGTTAGGAAATAACACATTTATTGTAGTGGAGGGGAAAAAAAAACCTCTGGGGAAGTGTGTGCAGCGGGGATCATGAAATATTCAATATCCAGCATTTGTTAAAATTCAAATGAGGCACTTGAAAGAATGGTTTGAAGCCCATAAACCTTCCCAAATTATTGTGGCATTACCTGGAAATCTTAGCAAAGGAAAACCTCTTTCTTTTGACTCTGTTTTCCAGGGAATAACCATAAAAACTGAATTTACAGCAAAAATAAAAAATCTTTCCTGGGTTTTGTTTCCTTTTTGTTTCCCAGCCCCACCAACCCCATTATTTTTTATGTATATTTTAGTGCTCTAGATTTTTTTTTATCTGCTACAAGGAATTTGTAGTGTTAGAAGTTGATTTTCCTCAACTGGGGCAAATATTTAAATGAATTCTGGTTCATTTTGCAGAGTTATTTCCTCTTCTTTTCTCTGTCTGCTGCTGTGGAAGGTGGAACAAGAGGAAAAAGTGAAGAATCCACTGCTGGGGAATGCTGAAATCCCCTTGTGCAGAGCATTAAATCCTGTTCTGCAGCCTTGGCTGGGTTTTCAACCACTGAGAGCTGCTCTTGCTGGTGTTAACATCACCTTATTTTGGGTGTAATCATTGCAATTTGGATGTCCTGGAAAATCAAGAGGATTTTGTTCTCCACGTACAGATTTGTCTGGTTTAAAGCCAATAATTAAAAGGTAATTTATCAGGGACTTGGTTTCCTGCTGTACTTTTACTTCCAGTTCCTCACGTGTATGTTCAGCCCAGAATGATCTTTCCTATTTAAGGGATATTGTTTGTGTCCTTCTGTAGGGTTTTAAATAAATCAATTTTTACAGTATTTGCCTAAAATGCTGAATAAAACAAAATCTCTGCTTACCTGCATTTGATGTCCAAGCTAAAATCTTTGTGTGTGAGTGTAGCATGCTCTAGAAATGTTGGGATCTTCCCTGAAAACCTCGGAAACTTTGAAGCCAGTGACAAATTTTGAAGTGCTGGGAGGTAGAAGAACATGTACTGAATCTTGGCTGAACATCAGTTAAAAACAATCCCCTTAAATACATACAAAATTTAATGCATTTATTAAATCATAAAAATTAGGATTAAATAAATGAATTAAATAATGTTTAAAAGCTTCTCTACCACACCAGGCCCTTTGTGCCTGAATGCACAAAGAGTTTGAAAATAAAGTTAAAAATTAAAGTTGGGAAGAGCTGCCTTGAGCCTCAGCTTAAACCACACCTTCCTATGGCTGTTTTAAAACAGATTCCCTGAAGGAACAGAAAAATCAGACAGCAGTGTCTCCTGTTGCTGCATGCAGCTCATTTATTGTCATTTATCTTTACAGAAATGTGAAGCATCTTCACAAGGATTGTACAAAACCCTCTCCCCTGGCTGGCTGATCCCAGCAGAGCCGCTCCCGGCGCTCGGTCTCCGAGAGGAGCCACGGAGTCGCTGTTGCTGATAAAAATCCATGCAGGAGCTGAGCTTGGAATAAAACTGTCCTGTTCTATAGAGGTTAAATAAAAAGGGGGATAACAGGAAATAAATATGCTCATAACATTGGTTGGAGTAGTTGAGCTTAATGCAGGATATGTGGGTTTAGTCCATATCAAACCGTTAGTGGACACGGAACATGCGCCAGAGCCGCTGCTGGAAAACCCCAAAACATCCCCGCTGTCCTCGTTTCTGCATCCCCCAGGGCCTGCCAGGTCTCTGCATTGGAACACAACTATTTCCTGCAGAAAATGGGATTTTTCCATGGCTGGAAGCAGTAGGCATTCTCCTGCTCCCATGGAAGCTCCTTGTGGGCCCTTTCAGTGGCAGGAACGATTCTTTGTCGCTGCATCAACGTTTCCAGGACCATTAGAAAAATAAACTGCTTTTGTTTTTACATTAGTATTGTAACTGAGGCTAAGGAATTAGAAAAATGAACCCTTGCTTCTCAGACTTGCATTGGCCACAGGTGAGTATTTACAGGGTTTTCCCCATCCCATGGGAAGGTCGGCTGGAAATTTACACCAGAGGAGGAACCCGAGGCTTTGTACACGGAGCTTCCGTTTCAAATGCAGGGACTTTGTACACTGAACAAACAGAAGCATTGTCAAAATACAGGAAAATCCAGGGCATTTGATAACATCACAAACCACACAGAGGCCTCAGTCCTTTTGGCACATGGTTTCTTCCTGGGATCATTTTCTCCCCGGATTAAGGGCAGGGAGGAGCTGTGTGTGCCCGCTGAGGAAGGAGGGACCCAGCACCGTGGCCAGTGGAGCCTCTGGAACACAGACCCTGGGTTTGGTCACAAGGCTGACCTGGCTGCTCAGGGCTGGGGGTGAAATTTTAAGTAATTTTTAAAAGAAATGTAATTTTCTTGCCATGGGAGGGTTGAGCTGAGGAGCTGCACTCACTTCCCTGTGCTCTCACGCACAGCTCGCAGCCAAACAAACAAAAAATAATAAAAATGTTCTCAGTAAATATATTCAAATAATCACGCCTTTTGTTTTATTTGGGCTGGGCTTTTCTTTGTTTGCTAGCTTGGGGTTTTTTTAACCTGTAATACTGCTTTGCTCTACTCTCCCTTGAAAGCAAAGTGGGGTTTGGAAAATGATCCATATTAAATTCAGAAAATTAAATACATTCACACCCCACGATCTGAGCATCCTGAGGCTTCGAGTTAGCACAGAGCCCACGTGTCCTTTTGTACTTCAACCACACCCACTTTTTAGCCTATAATTTCTTTTTGCCACTTTTAAATGACAGATTTGGCATGTGAAGCTGCAAACAGAAATAAATAAAACATTGTGCCTGCCTAAACCAAACAGATCCGAAACTAATCATTAAAAATCCATCAAAACAACCCAAAAAGCTTTAAAGACAGTTCTGTTTGTGCCCACAGCTCAGCAGGATGGGAGGGGTGCACTCTTTGCTTTTACCTGTGGTACCTCACCGGGCCTGGGATGTGCCACCACTCAGGGGCTCCTGCCTGGCACTTCAGGAAAAAACAACAATAAAAAAAATAAAAGCTGGACCCCAAACCTCATCCAGGCACAGTAGGTCTCTCTCAACCCCCTCTCGAGGTGATACCAGCCTTGGCACTGGTCCTACCCTGGGCATCTCTGCCCTCCCTCAGGGCCATGGGCAGGATGGGCAGCACATCCTCACAGGTTGGGGCAGCTCCCCAGCTGTTTAAAACTCACTGAAATCAGGTTTTGGTTTGTTTTCTTTTTTGTTTTCTTTGTAAACATTGATTGAGGGTGCATTGGGGAGCAAACAGTGAATGGTAATGGCAATAAACCATTCAGTGAGTGCAGGAAGCTGATGGGATTTCATGGCCATGTTGTGCTTTACAAGCTCCTTGCTAAAAAAAAAGCAAAAAGAATCACATTGGAATTGTAAGATATGAACATGAAAGTATAGAAAGTTAACAACTCAGTTATTCACTTGGCAGTCAAATAAACCCTTTCCACATCAAAGTTGTAGAATGTGCAAAAGCAGAACGGAAACACGTCTGGTGTTTGTGGCGGTGCCAGGTCCCTGCGGGTCGGGGGGACGTTCATGCACCTCTGCTGCAGGGGAAGCCACGGGGACAGAGGGGACAGAGCCGAGCAGGGGGGCTGGAGCTGCCAGGGGTGGCTGTGGGGGACAGGCAGAACCTGCTGCCATAGCGGTGTCACCGAGCTGTGACCTGGGAGGGGAAGGACAGCAGGACACGGCCAGGACACACAGGGGAAGGTTGGACCCCAGACTGCCCTGGCCAGAAAGGGCGAGTGGAGCCACCAAACCTGCACAGCCCCCCCAGCCCAGCCCAGCCCAGCATCCCCAATGCCCCAGGCAGCTCAGCCCCAGCAGGACACAAACCCAGCGGCCCCAAGGCTCTGCCACAGAGCTGGCCCCGCTCTCGGTGCCCTGGGCTTGGTGTGACCAGGGTCTGTGAGGTGCCCCAAGGCTCTGTCACAGACCTGGCCCCGCTCTTGCTGTGTTGTGGTTTGTGAGGTGCCCCAAGGTGTGGGGGCCCTGCCGTGCCTTGTCCCCTCCATCCCGGCTGTCCCACGGCCACCAGAGTCCTCGTGGCCACCCAGAACAGAAACCCAGCCGAGGATGAAGAACGTGAGTGACAGAGCAGGAGTTTGGGTACCCTGGGGGACACCTGGTGAAGGAGGAGGAGGAGGAGGAGGAGGAGGAGGAAGAGGAGCAGGGTTTTGGTGCAGTTTTCCTCTCGTCTTTACCAACCTGCACCCTCCAGGCTGACTCCAACCACAGCCCTGCTCCCATCGCTGTCTGGGCTCAGCCCCGTCCCGCCAGCACCAGCGAACGCTTTCTCACTAGTTGCGGTATCGGTAGAAAAGTTAAAATCCCCGGGGGCACCCACGGCCACCGGCTGCGTCCGGCTGTGCCGGGGCTCCGGGCATCCCTCCCGCGGGCACGGCCGGCCTGGGCATCCCCCACCAGGCTGGGCATCGCCTCCTGCGGGGCACCGCGGGCAGCAGCGCCTCCCCCGGGCCGGGCCGGGCCGGGCCGGGCCGTGCTGTCCTTGCCCGCCCTCGGGCGGCGCTCACAGCTGGGTCTCGTCGCGCGTCTCGGGGTTGCCCGAGCCCAGTTTGTTGCTGCAGCTGCTCTTGCGGCTGTGGCCGTCGTTGGCCACGTGGGCCAGAGGGTCGGAGCGGATCAGGTACCTGCGGGACACAGCCTGGTCACGCTGCTGGACAGGCCAGGGATTCAGGCCAGGATGTGCAAGGATGCCCCGTGGAGATGCGGTGCTTGCAGAGCACAGTAGTTGTTCGGATGAAAGGTGTTAAATGATAAGAGGTGTTCATGTAAATGCCATAAAATAATAGAATAAATGATCGGGAGTTATTCCTCAGCTGCTTAGTAGCCAAAGGAAAATCCCACAGTGCCCCATGGGAGCTAAGATGGGGCTGGGGTGGTTTGGGCACTGCTCAGGAGCACAGGGAGTTGGAATGGGCTGGAAAGGAGGCAAAACCCGTGGGTATTCATGAGAAATCCTAGGAAATAACGGGATGGGGGCAGTGTGGGGACAGGGTGAGGTGACACTTACACGATGTCATTGAGCTCCAGCCGCGTGTCCGGGGGGGGATTGATCAGGACGTAGGACAAGGTGTTCTGGTGGTCGTTCATCTCATCTGCAAGAGCAGGGGCAGGGCTGCTGAGGGAGGGACACCCCCAGAGACACCCCAACAGGCAAGGTGACAGATCCCATCCAGGCAAATGGGTCCCTTCACCAGGAGAAGCCGTGGGCAATGCCCCTGCCACCAGGAGGGTGCCAAGAATGTCTCTGCCACCTCCCTTGTCACCTCCCCAGGCTCTCCCCACCACAGCACGGCCCAGGGGACTGGGTAACTCTTCAAAGTCCCCACTCCCCCCAGAAATAAAGTGAATGTCTTACCTTGGTGCAGTGCAAAAGAGGGAACAGGTTAGTCCTGCTGTGTCAGGTACAGCACAAGTCCAACCACTGGCCCAGGGCAGCTGAACCCCCCCAGGGCCACCCCAGTGCTCTGCCCACCTCTCCCCCTCAGTTACTCAATTTGGCTCCATCCAGGCCCAGGATTAGTGCAGGGATTGCTCCTTTCCCCTGCCCAGGGGGAATCACCTCCATGGAGTTTCAGAGCCGTTGATTCCATTTTGGGGATGGCTCTGAACCAAGTGACCTCCCAGGGGGGCTCAGGGCCACCAAGAGCAGCACCCACGGGGGCAAACAGGGGGTCTCAGTGATGGGGGGCCCCTGTGCTCCCCGAAATAGCCAAGAACAAGATCATGGTGAAATGGATGGGGGTGCAAGGCTGCGGGTGCCGGGGGGGTGGAAGCTGCGACAGGTGACACCATCTCCAGACAGGGTGATGGGGTGTGGATGGACAGGGTGGGGAGGGGACGGACAGACGGACGCGGGGGCAGCATGAGGAGCACGGGGGGACACCAGCTCACTGCAAGGCTTCTCACTGGGACACCTCTCCAGGCTTTGGAAAGGCCCCTCTGAGGTGCAGATGGAGCAAATGGAGCAAATGGAGCTGCTCTGGGGGCACCGGGACCCGGCCCTGGGATGGGCATTAACTCCAGGCTGGGGCTGCTCCTCTGGCCTGTCCTGCTGCTCCCACCTCCCCATCCCTGCCTGGCATGGGGGACCACCCTGCCCCATGGTGGGCACAGCCAGGTCTCCTGTGCCAGCAATGCCAGCGGGTGCCAGATCAGCCTGGCACTGCTTTTCTCCAGCCCTCAGATGCAGCTCCAGCCACCACAAGCACCCAGCACAGGAATACAAACAGCTTCCTCTCGAGGTGTCCTTGCCAGGGCACACCCAGATGAGCCCCAGGGCATCCCCGGGGCTGTGCCACATCCAGCAGTGCCTGCAGGGGGACACCAGACCATTGTGGGGCTGCTCACACACACCCCTGTCCCCTCTGAGACCACAGAAGGTGCTGCAGCCAGGGGGACCTGGGACCACCCTCGGGGAGGTGCTGCCTGGGACCCCCAGCCTGGGCCAGGTGTCCTGTCCTGTCCTGGGGCCACCGGGGGAGTTTTGGCCATCCCAGTGCTCAGCCTTACAGGGAGACAGGGGTGGGGGTGGCAATGCCAGGGCAGGGGTGGCACACAGACCCTGGGACCCGACGGGACACACGGGGGGTGACGTGACAGGGAGGTGGGGCCGGGCTCTGGCTCTGGGCAGCTTTCCCTGCCCCATGGGAGCTTCCCGACCCCATGCAGCCAAGCCAGGCCCTGCTGAGCCCACTGAGTATATTGCTGCCCCTCCGCTGCCCCAGGCAATATACTCTGCTGGCCTGGGGCTGCCTGGCTGATGGAGGACACACTTTGTAAGGAAAATGCCGACGTTTCACCTTAAGCCTGGGCTAGTGAAGCCAAAAACGAAGCTGGGAAGGGTTGTTGCTAATCTTGGGGCTGCTGCAGTAAAAAGGAGCTTTTCCAGGGCATGTTGCACCCTGGTGTAAAGGTGAAAAAAAGATGGAAAAGCCTGGTAGGTCCCACAGAGCCCCACGAGGTGCCCGGGGTGGCTGCAGCACCAGTGGCCCCTGTGGCTGCTGTTGCTCCCTCATGCTGAGCCCAGCGCCCCTGGTCACAAAATGGGGTCTTCTAATGCTGGAGAGGGGTCCAGGAAGGCAAACCAAGGGGTGCAAAGGGATTTTTAAAGCACTGCCTTGCCCTGGACTGTGGCTGACCCAGCAGGAGCTCCAGCATCTCATCACAGCATGCACAGGCAGCTCTGGGGCACTTGTCCCCCTCCCTGACCCCTCCTCAAGCTGTCACTGGCTGTACAGCCCAAAACCCCCTCACAGAGCCATGGAGGGAGGGTTTTGTTAATGAAAGCCAAGGGCTGTGATTTCCCTGTAGGAATTCAGCTAAAAAAGGGTCCCTGATGTTTCTGTTTCCCTGATCAGGCAGAGCCCTGCATTTGCACCACCACCACAGGACACTGATTGGTTTTCCAACGCCACCCAACAAATTAGTGCTGAAAGCTCGGGGATCTAAGGTGAAAACTGGCAAGGGTGAGGTTTGGGCTTAGCTGGCATGATCTTGTTGTACGCTGCACGCCATGAGTCACGCGGGACTCCCAGGGAAAGGGAATTACCTTGCAAATATCCCAGGTTTACCCGATTCATCACATCACTGGCTGTTAAATTTGCTACATCCTCTACAGAACATACAGGGAAAGGCACAGACATAAACAGAGAGAGAGAGAGAGGTCAGCAAGCCATGGTTTGGCAAATATCAGAGACGAGCTCCTGCGCTGCAGCCAAAACGTGAGCAAAAGAAAAAGGAAAGGGGCAGAAGGCAGAGCAACGATTTCCATGGGTGTCCAGACACTGATGGTGACACAAGGTGACAACACACAGTCCCTGCACCTCTGGATGCCCAAGGAGCTGCTGGTCCCCACGCTGTGCCCGCTGTCCCTGTCCTGAACCCCTCACTGTCCCCTCTCCTGCCAGAGCTCCCCCCAGTTTACTTCAACCAAAATTTGCCAGATGGGCCAGGACAAGGATGCCAGCCCTGACCTGACCCCAAGCTGTGCCCCAAGCCTCAGTGAGGCCAGACAGCCCCCCTGGAACTGCAACAGAAACTGCTGGGATTGGGAATGTAGGGAAAAAAGGAGAGAGGGGTACACCACTGCAAGGCCTTGCCTGCAGTCCCTGTCCTTGCCCCATCCCACCACACTCCAGCTCTCCTGCCCCTCTCCCTGGGGATGCTGGCAGTGCCCACAACCACCCCTGGGCCCCCACTCCAAACCACTCCAAACCCCTCCTGCACTGCACTTCTGGGCACTTCATCCTCCTCTTTCCTGTGCCTAAAGCCAGGATGGGAAAGGAGGAATGCTACCCCCAAAATCAGCTCCCATCCCACTGGGGCTCACTGCCAGCCTGAGTGTGGGCAGGGGGTGGACAGACACTCCTGGAGGATGGAGCAAACAAGCAGCAGCACAGGATGGCTTCAAAGAAAGAAAGAAAATAAAAGAAAACTAAACCAAACCAACAAAACCAAGGGAGCTGTGGGCTATAGACTTTGTCATAACCAAGGGCTGGGAGCTGTCCAGGGTGACACAGATGCCAGCACCGACGGGCAGGTCAAGCTTGACGAGAGATGTGGCTGCACAGAGGGACCCTGAGCGCCGTGGCTGTCACAGCCACACACCAGTGTCACACGCAATGAAGCAACTCAGCCCTGCAGCTACCGAGAGGTTTCCACAAAGAGTTTATGACAGATTAAAGTCCATTACAAAAGGGGGCAGCGCCAGCTGACAGGGTTGGGCCTCTCCCTGCCAAACTACGGGGGCTCTTGGGCACAAGGGTTGTGCTGACCTGGGGCCGGGTTGTCCTGAACCACCGTCTCTGCATGGCCAGAAAGTGGGGCACAAACGGGGCTGTGTGGGGACACCGGGCCCTGCTGCAGGCACAAGGGCCACTCTGCCACTGCCAACTCCTGCCTGGAGCCATCCCAGAGCCCAGAGATGGGGGCGCTGCCTGCAGCTGGCCGGGGGTGGCAGGGGAGGGAGGGGGGTCTGCGTGGGGGGACCCCAGCCTGGGGCTGCACAAGCACAAGCAAGCCGGGGATGAGGCGCAGCCCGGCTGGGACGGGCTCGGCGCTAAGCCGGGCATGGGGTTAGGCTGGCGTGGGGTTAGGCTGGCTCAGGGGGGTTGGGTTAGGCCGGGCCGGGGTTACCTGAGGAGCCCACGGGCGGGAGGCAGCGGCGCTCCAGCGGCACTTACCGTACCCGGTGGTGGGCAGGCCCAGGTGCTTCATACGGTTCTTGACGAGCTCGGAGAGCTCCTGGCGCTCGGAGCGCCGGTACAGGCTGAGGCGCTGCTGGCTGATCCACTCGGCCGTCTTGCTGGAGTGCTTGTTGCCCTTCCTGCTGAGCCGCCGCGCCCACTGCATGCTCTTGCGCCGCAGCAGAGGGTGCTCGGACTGGTCGCTGGAGCACGAGTTGCGGTGGTGGCTCGTCTTGATGCCCCAGTGCTCCTTGACGTCCTTGGTGTCCTCGCAGTCCTCAACATTGATTGAGATCTGTGACTAGAAGCCCAGCAGGTCACGCGGGATGGGGGGTGGCCAAGGGGGCTTTGGCCTGTGCCTGGCACGGTGGGATCTCTCCCACGGGGTGGGATTTTCTTTTGGGGTTTCTTTGGGTTCCTTCCTCTGACCCCAGTGGCCTCTCCCAGCACTTGGTCTCTGCACTGCAGGAACCACTGGGCTGGCAGATTTCACAGAATCCCAGAGTGGTTTGGATTGGAAGGAGCCCACTCCTTGCCATGGTCCACCACACCAGGTTGCTCCAAGTCCTGTCCAACCTGGCCTTGATCTTCCAGGGATGGGCCAGCCACAGCTTCCCTTGGATAAGCTGAGGGGAGTCTTGTGGGCACCTCACACAGGATCACCTCTGGGATATCTGCCCCAGGAACAGCCATGCCCTCATCTCCCTCTCTTCCCTCTTACAGCAACTGTGCTGCCACAATGTCTGACCCAGCAATCCCCACTGGTGAGCAGGAATTTATTAATAAAGCCTTTTAAAGCCTCTCAAGGAGCTGGGTTGCATTTAATTAAATGTCAACTTTCAGCTCCCTGTCACTGCTTCCTTACAAAGTTGAACACTGAAGGTATTTAAAGGGATCTTGGCTGCCTCCCTTGCTCCTGATCCCAGTTAATTACATCAGGGCACTGAGGCTCAGCCAATATCTCCCTTCCATGGGGACAGGCAGGGCAGTGCTGGCACAAAGCAGGGGGTGGCTCTCGTGGCCAGAGCCAGCCCAGGGCTCAGCCAGGGGTGGGGATGGGGGGCACGGCCGGGCGTGAGCGGCACTCACCTGCGCTCGGATGTCGTGGGGCTGCAGCAGGGGAGGAGGAAGGGAAAACCACGAGTCAGTGCAGCAAAGGGCAGCCCTGCAGTGCCCACCCTGCTCCCCAAGGTGCCCAGGGTGTGACAGAGCCAAGAACATCCAGCACTGCCTGGAGAGACCCTGACCCAGCTGGGGAACCAGGACAGCACCACCCAGTGCAGCCGCTCGAACGAAATCAACACAAAAATTCCCCTTCCCCTGCTCTCCCCTCCCCACTCTGCTGCAGCCAGGCCTGAGGTGCTCCAGGCACCAGCACCCTCCTGGATCCCAGCTTGGCTGGCACCACAGCCCCTTCCCAGCCCGTGCCCTACCTCGGAGGTGGCAAACATGTGCGACTCCGTCCTGTAGATCCCGATGGGGATCTCGGCACTGGAGGAGCAGAGCTTCTGGAAGAGGCGCCCATACGTCCGGATCCACAGGTCATCCTCAGTGATCTTCATCTGAGCAACACAGGGCCAGCATGGACCAACGCGGGGACAGCAGGGACCAACACAGGACAGCATGGACCAACGCAGGGCCAGCATGGACCAACGCGGGGACAGCAGGGACCAACGCAGGGACAGCATGGACAAATGCAGGGACAGCATGGACCAATGCAGGGACAGCATGGACCAATGCAGGGACAGCAGGGACCAACGCAGGGACAGCAGGGACCAACACGGGGACAGCAGGGACCAACGCAGGACAGCATGGACCAACACAGGGCCAGCATGGACCAATGCAGGGACAGCATGGACCAACACAGGGCCAGCATGGACCAATGCAGGGACAGCAGGGACCCCCACTGCGCCTCAGGCTCCTCCTGAGCTCCACCCCAGCCCATCCATACCATCCCAAAAGTCATTTCCACAAGAAAATCAGGGGCCATTTCTGACCTCAGCCTTCAAAACAAGGAGTTTGGTCCTTGGCAGCTCTTGGGCTTTTGGCAGCACTGAGGTTCCCCAAAATGGAGGGGAACAACGACCTGGCAATGCTGCTCTATCACTGTGATATTTTATGAAAAATCCCTTCACCAGGATTTCTTCTCCTGGCAAGATAAGAAGCCTCAGCTTCTCCATGTTTTGCTGCTTTGGAATGTGATTTGGAGAATTGTTTGCCCAGCACGTGAATTGTTCAAATTAATGGCCAATCACAGCCCAGCTGTGTCAGACTCTCTGAGGAGTCATGGGTTTTTATTATTTATTCTTTTCTAGCCTTCTGTCTGTATCCTTTCTCTATTCTTTAGTATAGTTTTAGTATATTGTTTCTTGTAACATCATATCGTATCATATAATAATAAATCAGCCTTCTGAGAACTTGGAGTCAAATTCTCATCTCTCACCTCATCCTGGGGCCCTCACAACCCCCCACTGCTCCCTCCTGGGGACCTCCCAACCCCACACTGCTTCCCCCCAGATCTGGAGAGGAGGGGAGCCCCCACCCCCATGCACAGGGTGACAGATGCCACCAGATCCAGGCCCCCCTGGCTGATGGTTTTAGCCCAAGGGACTCAGCACGTACCGCACAGAGGTACCCGGAGCCCGGCGTGGTGTCGAGGCCCAGCAGCAGCCGAGTGATGGTGATCATGTAATCCTTCACGAACGACTGGGAAAGCAGGGAAAGGTTGGCTCAGCTGCTCCCTGGGGGATGCCCCAGCTGCAGGGCTGTGTCTCACCTGGTAGAGCAGCGTGTCCAGCATGCTGATGCTGAAGACTCTCCCGGCGGCGAAGGGCAGCCGGAACATGAAGGCCAAGTTGGAGCCGTTCTCTCGCTCTCTCTGCAAGAAAAAAGGGAAGTTTGAGCTCAGACTGCACAGAAAATTAGAGGACTCATGGCAATGGGAGGGCATGGGTGTAATGTTTCTGGTGGGTGTGGCAGGAGGAAACCTGGGCAGCATCTTTGTGCTGTAGAAAAATTGGGTGTTTTTCTCCATGGAAATGTGTGAGACATTATTGGGTTTTCTGGACATAGTCAGTCACTGTCAGTGTTGACTTCCCAGGCCCCCATGCAGGGAACAGCCTCCTCTTACCTTTTCTAGCTTGGAAAGGGCCAGAGAGTAACTGTCCTTTGCTCTGAACTGCATGAACCTCATGTTGGAGGGGTGGGTCAGCTCCGTGATAATGCTGAGGCTGGGGAAGAGCCTGCAATGGAAAGAGATCTCTTGTCCTGCAGCTGTCTCAGAGGATTTAAAGCCTGAGGAACACCACAGTCATCCCTGTGCTGCCTGAGGTCAGAAACAGCTGGTTACATGCTGCTTCCTGCAGCAAACCCAGTGCCAGCTGTGTCCCACTGTCCATAGCCACCACCCCAGGCACTGGCACCCATCCTGGTCTTGTCCCCAGCAGTGGTCACCCTCACCTGAACATGGTCTGGACGTTGACAATGGTCTTGGCATCTGCCATGTAGTCCTCCTCAGCGCTCATGGTGCTCTCCTTGTCCACCACCACCAAGTTGTCGGCGTAGATGATGCCACACTGCAGCAAACTGTCCAGGCTGGGCAGATCCCAAAGAGAAGAGCGCAGGGTCAGCCCTTGGAAACGACACAGGGAAGCAGCACAGGGGTTCCACGGCGAGCCCAGGCTGCTCCCAGCCTGCTCTTCACCTGCTCCCATCTCCCAGGGAGGGGTTGACAACTCGAGAAGCCCAAGGTGGGCTCAGCTCTAAGCTACCAGCCCTGGGGCTTCTCACGGGGTGACCGAAAAGTCTGGGCTGGGGTAAATGCAGCAATTCAGGCATGATAGCCACCCGTGGGAACACCTACTTGTCAATGGTGCCCTCCATGTAGTAAACCATGGGGAAACAGCAGATGGCCTCCAGAAAGTGGTGCTCAGGCCTGGGGGGAGAGCCACAGAGAGCGAGGTGGTTCAGCACATCCATGCAGCAGAGACAGACACAAAACCCCAGCGCCAGCCAGCCCAGGAACCCAACGGCACCACTGCTCCCTCACACTCCCACCCCACAGCACGAGCTGCCCGTGGCAATGCAGGGAGGCTCTGTGGGAGGGAGAACACCCCTGGAGAAGTACTTGCTTGTTGTCCAGCAGCAGCACGATGGGGTTGAGCTCCTTGCGGGAGCGGTAGTAGGCGCGCAGCGGGACGATGAAGTTGTAGAGGCCGTTCCCCGCTGTCTCTGCGGAAACGATGATCAGCTTGTTCTTGAACCCGTAGGCCTTGGCGTCCTCAAAGCTGTTGTGTTTGCAGCCCTGTGCGGGGTGGGACAGCCCAGCACTCAGTGGACACGTCCTGGGGGCTCGGCCCCAGGCAGCCCCCGCAGCCCCTGCTCACCTTGTCCAGCCTCAGGCAGCAGAACGGGGCTTTCTCGGGCAGGAGGTGGCACAGGGTCGGGGAGCTCCCGATGTAGGGCGAGTTTGGGGGGTAGCCCTTCACGTACCTGCAGCAGAGAGAAATCTGTGTGAGGACAGGGAGAGCTTGCCATTTATCCAGTGCTCAGATGCTGGGGAAAACATTCAACAGCAACACTGGCAAATGCCCTGCAAAACTCTACTGCAGCAGCTGGGAACTCCCTGAATTTACATATTTAGGAGTATTTTTTGCTATGCAAAGGGCCATGAGGTTGTAAAGATGCAGGAGCAGAACGCTCATGGAAAAGCCAGGAGGGGCTGAGCCTGAGCACCCCCAGCACCCCTGAGCACCATGTGCCATGGTCCCAGAGCCTCTGAAACTGGAGCAAACTGGGTGCAGCCATGTCACTGTGACATTTTATGAAAAATCCCTTCGCCAGGATTTCTTCTCCTGGCAAGAAGAGAAGCCTCAGCTTCTCCATGTTTTGCTCCTCTGGAATGTGATTTGGAGAATTTTTTTGTTTACCCAGCATGTGAATTGTTTCAACTTAAAGACCAATCCCAGTCCAGCTCTGTCGGGACTGGTCAGTCACGAGCTTTTAGTATTCATTCCTTTCTAGCTTTCTAATGTAACATTTCTCTATTCTTTAGTATAGTTTTACTATATCATTTTCACAATATGATATGATATTATATGATATTATATAATATGGTATAATATGGTATAATATGGTATAATATAATATAATATAATATAATATAATATAATATAATATAATATAATATAATATAATATAATATAATATAATATAATATAATATAATATAATATAATATAATATAATATAATATAATATAATATAATATAATATAATATAATATATCAGCCTTCTGAGAACTTGGAGTCAATTCTCATCTCTCACATCACCCTGGGGACCCCAACACCACCACAACTGGTGACCACACAGCCACAATGACCCAGAGGCACCTGAATCCCACTAGGTCCCACTGGAATGAGCCAGACAGAGAAGAGAGAGCGACTCACTCCAGCACTGCCGAGCCCTCCTCGTCCGACTGCGTCATCTCGTCCTCGGACTGGTCGCTGAGGAGGTCGCAGGGCAGCAGGGAGGAGGTGTCAGCCAGCTCCAGCACCGGGGCGATGCTGGGCCGGCGCGTGCCCGAGCCGTTCTCGGCGGGCAGGGCCAGCTTGCTGCTGTTGGCGGGGCGGCACTCGGTGTTCTGCAGGTCCATGGCCACTGTACCTGGACACAGACCGGGGAGGGAGCACGGCAAACACGCTCTAAGGGGGGGGAAATGTCACGACAGCCTCCTGTCCCCATGCCCTGCACGGGGATGACAGCCCAGATGATGCTGAGCTGTTGGTGGGCACGGGGAGCGCAGGTGAAGCCCCCACTGTGTGCAGCATCTCCCCAGGGCTCAGAAAAGGAACCAGGAAAAGGAACTCCAAGAAAAGGACCAGCTAGCGTGGCAGAGCTTGGAAAATGCAAAAGGCTTAAGTCCTTTAACTCAGAGGTTCAAATCCTCTCCCTAGCTTAACCCAAACCATCTCCCATGACTAACTACCCTCTCTTAATCAACCTCATCATAGCCCTCTCCCATGCCCTTCCAATCTTAATTGCAGTAGCCTTCCTTGCTCTAGTAGAGCTCTGTCCCTGGGGCTGTCCCTCTCTCCATTCCCCTCACAGCTCCATGGCCAGCTGAACCACTCACCCACCTGCTGCTCCCTGAACTGCCAAACCAGGCTCTGCAGGAGTTTTTGCCATGCTGATGTGCCCCTGAGAGGACAGCCCTGCAGCCTAACCCCTGCCCACAGCTCCTCACGGGCTCTGGGAGACACCAGCCAGGTCAGGAACCACATCTGCCCTGGCACTGCCCTCCCTGTGGATGTCCCTTCAGCCCAGGGAGAGGCAGGCAGGCAGCAATGCCCTCACCAACCTCCCACATCCCTCCTGAGCAGCTGCAGGCCTTTGAATCTCAAAATCCTTAAGGATAGAAAAGTCCTCTAAGATTGAATCCAACCATTCCCCCAGCACTCTCAACCTGTCACTAAATCATGTTCCCAAATGCCACATCTACAGGTGATTTAAATCCCTCCAGGGATGGTGACTCCACCACTGCCCTGTGCACAGCCTGTTCTGTGAAGGAATTCTTCCTAATATTCAACAAGACAGACTTGCTCATCCTGTCCTCCAGCAGCTTCCAAAAACCAAACACATTGATGGAGTGTCCCAAGAAGCAGAGCCCAGACATTGGCCTTGCCAAACACCACTGCCCTGCTGGCACTCACGTCACGTCTGTCTGTCCCTCTCATCACCTCTGCCAAAGGTCCCTCTGAGTGGAGCTGTGCGAGGAGAGCTGTGACAAACAGCGCTCAGCAAAGCACTCCGAGGCCTGCTGGGGGATAATCTATGCAAATTGCTGCTCAGGAGTACAAACACATAAATTATTTGCTTGAAATACAATGTGCTCGTGTGGCTCAGCTCCTCCAAAACTTGTTCTCCCCAGATACAAGAGGGAAGCAATGACTCATGGTATTTTTCACTTGCACAAATGCACTGCTGGCTGCAGGGAGAACGACGGCTTGGGAACCATAAACGTGATTTAGGATGTGCCCCACGGCATTTCTTCCTCCAGCCTTGGAAATAACTGGGGCCTAAATCCAGGCTTGGGGCATTTATGCAAATACCCTTAATGATAATGGGCATCACGAGGTTTAATAATGATATTCGAGCTTGCTGAGAGCATGCAGAGTGCAAGGAAATGTGTGTTTTACTGGTGAGATGGCTGGGAGACTGCATGGAAAGGGGTTTTTGGGGAGGGGGGGAGCGTGGCAAATCACAAAATAAACCCAAATGTGGGGAGGGAACAAACCCAAATGAACCCAAACAAACCCAAAGGCGGGGGAGGTGATGGAGGGGGGTGTGGTGGCCCCTGCTGCCCCCCGAGCCCCCCGACTCACCCATGCTGGCGATGATGCTGTGCACGGGCAGCCGGGAGGGGCCGTCATAGCTGCCCCTGCCCGCAAAGCCCTTCTTCTTCTGCTTCTCCTCCTGCTTGAAGATGAAGGCAGAGTTCTCCTCCTTGGTGATGTTGATGTAGAAGCAGGTGTCTGATGCTGCCATGATGTGCCTGGGGCCGGGGTTCAGCAGGATGCTCTTGTTCTCCTCCCTGCGGATGCCGATCAGGCAGACACCGTACCTGGGGGGGGGATGGAGCAGGGGCTGGGCATTCCCAGCTGGGGAAAATCCCCTCCTGTCACAGACACCTTTTATGGAAAATCCTTTCCTTAGGATTTTTCCTCCTGAGAAGCTGAGAGGCCTCAGGAACAAAATGTAACCAATGGTTATCTGCTGCTGTGGAATGCAACAGGTGCATCTGGGATTTGTCTTGTGTGGTTGTTTCTAATTAATGGCCAACCACAGTCAGCTGGCTTGGACTCTCTGTCCAACACGAGCCTTTGTTATCATTCCTTCTTTTCTATTCTTAGCTAGCCTTCTGATGAAATCCTTTCTTCTATACTTCTATTTATTATTTTATTATATATATTATATCAAAATGAATATAATATATATCATACAATATATTTTTAATATATTTTATATTAAAAATATTAAAATATATTTTAGTATATATTATATATCATAATACATAATATATATCTAATTTTTATATATGTAAAAATTTCGTTTTAATATATTTTATATTTTAATAAAGGTATATATATATATATATAATTTTTAATATAACATATATCATAAAATAATAAATCAAGCCTTCTGAAACATGGAGTCAGATCCTCATCTCTTCCCTCATCCTCAGACCCCTGTGGACACCGTCACCCCCTCCTGCGGGGGGAGCAGGGGCTGGGCATTCCCATCTGGGGAGAATCCATCCCCTCTGGGACTCTGTCCCCGCACACAGACCCTCACAGCAGCCCCTGCCCTGAGCCCAGGCATGCAGACAGACAGATCCCCCCGCCCAGAGCCCCCTGCCCTCACTTCTTGTGCGCGTGGAAGGCGGCGTAGGTGAAGCTCTTGCCCTCGTACTCCATGAAGAACTTGCTGTCCCCCATGCGGATGTGATAGACCTCATTGCCCGAGCAGCGCCCGTACATCCGCTGCCACTGCTCCGGAGACTCCTGGCCCTCCCTGCAAGGGCAGCAGCGGCGTCAGCGGGGACCCCCGGGGCTGGGATGGGACCCACAGGGGCTGGGGTGGGATGTCTGAGCTGGGATGGAACCCTCAGGGCTGGGATGGGAGCCCTGGTGATGGGATGGGACCTCTGGAGTTGTGATGGGACCCCCAAGGCTGGGATGGGACCCCTGGTTCTGACACAGGTCCCCGAACCCCAGCCAGATCCCGGGGCAGAGCACCAACAATCTCTGGAGGTGCCCCTGTGCCCGACAGCAGGGAGGTGACAGTGACACATGGCCGCGGGCTGCTGGTGCTCTCCCAGCATGAGCTCGTTCTCACTTTGGGCTTTAAGTGCCTTTTTATTTAACGAGGGCCCCTGCAGAGTGCAGGGGGAGGTGCAGAGCCCGTGTTGGCAAACAGCCCCGAGCACGGGGCGAGAGGCATCTGGCAAGGATGTTTCAGAACTGATTTGATGGCACTTTACCCAAAATTCAGACATTTCTGACTGGCCAAGGAGTGCAGGGCACACGCCACTGCTCTCCTGTGCTGGCAGAGCTCCTTGCAGCCATGCCGGATATAAACCCACCAAAAAACCCTGCAGGGGCTGGGGCTGCTGTGAATTCACCTTCCTGCCAGCAGCACCGTGCCAATACAAAGATATTTTTACCTCCAGCCTCTGCAAAGTTGGCATTGCCCAGCCCAACTGCACTGGTGTGGTCCCCTTACAAAATGGGCTTTTGTTTTTGACCTGGAGAGGGGCCCCAGACCCCACTGGGCTCCCCAGAACCATCCCAGACACCACTGGGCTCCCCAGAGCCATCCCAGACCCCTCTCCCCTGAGCTCAGAGGCCTCAGTTCTGCCACCCTCCAGGCCCAGGCAGGGGTAGGGGAGGGCAGGGATGGGCAGGGACAGCGAGGGACAGCGAGGGACAGCACTCACTGGCCACGGGAGGTGTGCACCAGCAGCGTGATGAGGGTGGAGGTGGCAGGGCAGACACAGTTGAGTGCCAGCATGGCGTATTTGCACTCCTCCTCACACACAACGTGATCTGAAAGGCAGAGGGGACCATCAGGGAGGCAGGGGGACAGTGCCTGGGAATGGGGTCATTTTGGGGTGGTGCTGGGCACTGGGTGTTTCCTCCTCCTGCCAGTCGAGGAGGGCTCCCAGCTGACCAAGAGCTGCTGCGCAGCTGCTCCAACTCACCTGCAAACTTCACATGGAATTTATTTTCTGGCTTTAAGATCTGAACGTAGAGGGGACAGTTTGGAGCAAAGTCTTTGACAGCCCAGGCCCTCAGGATGGTCTGGTGGTCCTGGACAGGGACAAGAGCAACGAGAGCTGCTTGGTTGACGGTTTCTTGGTTGATGGTTTCTTGGTTGATGGTTTCTTTTCCCCAAGGGATGGGCTGCAAAGCACCCAGCCACCCTGGAGATGTACAGCAAGGGCTCCTCCTGCCCCTGGTGCTCCCTGAAACCCAGCACTGATGAGAAACCAGCAGAAGGAAGGTGAGCCCACGGGGCTCAGCCAGCAGTGTCTGTGCATGCCTCTGTGCATCCCCAAGGTTCCCCTGGGCACTCAGCCCCTTCCCAGCACCCTCCCTTGCCAGGCACAGGTGACACCAACACCACCCCAGTCCCTTCTGCCTGGGACATGCCCCTGCCCACCCCTGGCTGGACTCACAGCTGCTGTTCTGTCCACCTCATTCCGGCTGCTGAGGATGAAGCAAGCTTCTCCATTGTCCATCCTGCCAGGAGAGAGCAGAGACCCCATGAGCTGCAGGGCCCACAAGGCTAGGCACTGCCCACCCCACCAGCCCCTGCTGCCACAGACATATTTTATGAAAAATCCTCCTGGGAAGCTTCAGCTTCTCCATGTTTTGCTGCTTTGGAATGGGATTTGGAGAATTGTTTACCCAGCATGTGAAATTGTTTTTACTTGATGACCAATGACAGCCACCTGTGTCGAGGCTGTGAGCAGTCACAAGATTTTATTATCATTCCTTTCTTTGCTGGCCTTCTGATGAAACCCTTTCTTCTATTCTTTTAGTATAGTTTCAACATATCATTTTCCTTTAATACAATATATATCATAAAATAATAATCAGCCTTCTGAAACATGGAGTCAAGATTCTCATCTCTCCCCTCCTGCTGGGACCCCTGTGAACAGCAGCACACCCAGCCAGCCCCCAGGCCCAGCACAGGCTGGGGTGACACTGTCACTGGGGTGTGCAGGGTGTCCTCTGGAAGTTTACAGGCAGCCCCGACATGGGAAGAGATGAGCAATCTTGACTCCATGTTTCAGAAGGCCGATTTATTATTTTATGATATATATTATATAAAAACTATACTAAGAGAATAGAAGAAAGGATTTCATCAGTGGGCTTGAAAGGAAAGGAAGGAATGGAATGACAACAAAAGCTCATGACTCTCAGAGAGTCCAAGCCAGATCACTGTGATTGGCCATTAATTAGAAACAACCACGAGCCCAATCCCAGATGCACCTGTTGCATTCCACAGCAGCAGATAACCATTGGTTCCATTTTGTTCCTGAGGCCTCTCAGCTTCTCAGGAGGAAAGATCCTGGCAAGGGGATTTTTCAGAAAATATCATGGCTACAGTGTCCCTCTGCTCACTTGGCTCTCATCAGGTCCTGGTCCTTGAGGGCAGAGCCCTGGAGGTAGATGACCCTCTGGGACCACAGGGGGATCTGCAGCACGCGCCGCACCTGGATGTCCATCTCGGTGGGGCACAGGATCACCACGTAGTAATCCTGCAGGAGAGAGGCCACTGCCAGAGGAACCTCCTCCAGCCAGCTCTAATCAGCTCTCGGAGGTCTGCAACACACTCAGGATAGCTCAGCTACCTTTGGAAGCATAAAAATCAGCAGGATGGCTTCTGTTGCAGCGTTAGAAACAAAAAGGTTTGATAAAAGGCAAAATAACAAACCAAGAAAAACCAAGCCAAGTGCTGGGTGCTCTTGCTCCTGGCAAAACACTTTACAAAAACAGAGGTTTTTAGAAAGGGGGCTCAGGGGACAAGGAATCTGGACATGTCCAGCCTTTCTCCTTCTTCTTCTTGGCCTCCATCTTCTGCTGTGATGGTGGCACTTTGGGATTGGTTTAGAGTAGAAGCTCACTGTCTAACACAGGTGATAAGTATTGGAAAGTAATTGCAAATATTGTACACAGAGTTTTTAGTATAAAAAGATAATACCGCCCCGGGGGTGAGCAGAATGCCTGGAACTGTCCTGCTGAGAGGACCTTGGCAGGCCAGGAGAAAGAATTTTATAGATAAGATACAATAAACAACCTTGAGACCGAGAACTGAAGAGCTCCGACTCCTTCTGGGAAAAGAGACTTTCTAACACCTTGGGATCACTCTGACCAGCAAAGACCCCGAGAGAATCCTACAGGGGCAGCGTGAGCCCAGCCTGGGGCTCACCTGCAGCCGAGGGTGGGCGTAGAACTCGTTGAGGAAGTCCATGAGGAGGTCGATCTTGAGGGAGCTGACGCACAGCACCACGTGCTTCTCGGTCTGCGCGCGGTGCCGGCTGTAGTTGCCCCCCGACTTCTGCCGCTCCATCCACAGGTACACCAGCTCCTCGAACTGCAGGGGGCACGGAGCTGATGTCCCCAGGGCAGGGCTGGCAGCCCCTCCCCGCCCTCAGGCTGTGCAGGTCTCACCTGGAGAGGCAGCACCACCAGGGCCACGCAGATCATGATCACCACCAGCAGCTGGGAAGGCCAAATCTTTGGTGTCACGTCTCCGTAGCCCACGGTGGAAAAGGTGACGATGCAGAAATAGAAGGACTTGAAGAGGGAGAGCTTCTCACCTGCTCTTTCTAAGTGCTGGATGCCGCAGGTCCTGGAAGGGAAAAGCCCCGTCACGGCAGGGACAGCCCCACACACCTGCAGCTCAAAGCCATCCTGCTCACACAAGAGTCACCCAAACCTTGCTGGGCCCAAACTGCACCTTCCCTCCTCCCCCAAACTCATCCAGCAGCAGGGCTGGGAGCACCACTGAGCTCTGAAATAGCATTAGTCATCCACATCAGAGCATCGTCTTTATTGCCAAAAACTCATGAGCCTAAAAGCCTCATTTCCCCTCCATTCAGCAACTTAATGGTTCAATATGCCTCAAACCCAGGGCAAGGGAGCCAGAGGAGAATTCAAAGCTTAATTCAGAGCTAAATAGCCAGCGATGAGCTTTGCTCCCCTGCCCAAAGGAACACCCTTGATGCTGGCAATGGCAGGGAAAGGGCCCAGTTAATTAGCAGGAGCCCCAGCGGCCAATTACACAAATGACCTGAGGAGCTGCGAGGTGTGGGGGAGGAAGAGCTCGGCTGGAGCCTGGGAGTGAATGAACCATCCCTGGTGCATGAGCCATCCCTCACCTGGCCCTGGGGGAAGCTGCTGCCCCTGCCCTCGTGTCCACATCCCCCAGCTGCCTCTGGCTGCACCCTCCCTAAAAACTCCCCGATCAAACCCTAGAACAAGGCAGCATCAGGAGTTTGGCTTAGAAACCCCCTCAGAGTGCTGGGGATGGAGCAAAGCAGGGGAAGGTGTGAGCCCTGCAAGAGCCCAGCTCTGCCAGCTGCCCCAGATGGGCACAGCTGGATTCCCAGGGTGGGAACAGCTGGATTCTGGGGGCTGTGGGCACAGCTGGATTCCCAGGGTGGGAACAGCTGGATTCTGGGGAGTGTGGGCACAGCTGGATTCCCAGGGTGGGAACAGCTGGATTCTGGGGAGTGTGGGCACAGCTGGATTCCCGGGATCAGGAGGGGGGTTTAGAGAACTGGAGAGCAGCACTCACCCCGTGAAAACCAGACACAGGAGGGTGCAGATGAGGATGAGCACCTGGTTGAACATTGCTGACTGTGTCCTTTGGATGGCCCGGTGCAGATCGTTCTGGGGAGACAGGGGAGGGTTCCCACCAACTCACCCAGCCTGGGGGGACCAACTGCTGCCTTGCTGGCTCCAGCAGTGCCCTCCCCAATGAAGGGCAAGCCTGGATTTAGCCCTTGGGAAGGGGTGTGCATTCCCATCGGCAGGTCTGGGATCTGAGAGCTCCAGTGGGAGCAGGGGAATGGCTGGAACACCTCACCCCAACCACCCCTGTCACTGTGGTTTGGACTCTGGGGGATTCCTGGTCACAGCCTGGCATTCCCAGCCTGGCATCCCCATCCTGCACACACCAAGCTCCAAATCCTGCCCCAAAGCTGGGGGCAGCCAAGGGTCCCCTCCCAGTCCTGCTGCCCTCCACATCCCTGAGGAGCTGGACAAAAGGGATCACTCACAATCATGTTCTCCAGGGCGTACTTGGCCAGCCAGCAGTTCAGAAACACAGGAATGAACAAATTCCGCAAAGGAGGCCAGAATATCTACAAAAGCAAGGGTTATTAGCAGAGAAATCCACGTTCTTTTAAAAAATGGAGCCATAAGCAGCCAATCCTCCCTGTGTGGAAGGATTCAACCCCAAGCTGAGCAGAAGCTGCCACCAAACAGGGCCCTGCCTCCCTGGCTGCAGCAGAGCAGCTGGAAAGGGAGGATGGGGTTTGGGATAACACTCCAGAGAAAATCATTAAATTGTCAAATATTGAAGGGAAAATTTCCTGCCAGCCTTAAAATTCCACTTGGCCAGACACCCATTTGTCTTCATTTTATCACCAAAATACAGCAATTACTACACTTAGAGCTGCTTTAAATGTCACCAGGACACACTCACCGTGATGATGAATGGCACCGTGTTGATCATCTCCAGGATGAAGGAAATGCGAAAAATCTGCTCCCAGATGTTCCCCTGAGGAATTCAAACCAAAGAAAAAATGAGATAACCTTAAAAACTTCCCAGAGGACAATTGAAGTGATCCCACCGTGCCACAGAGCCTGCTGGGTGAGGGAAATACGGCGCAGGAGAGGTGCAGTGGTGGTGGCAGGCACGCTGGGAGCAGGAAATATTCCCAAACTCCTCAGTCCTCTCCACAGCCACTACATCTGTCTGTCTGTCTGTCTGTCTGTCTGTCACTGCCACCACCCAGAGCTGGGGGACAGCAACGCTTCCTGCAGGGATGGAGAGTGACAGTGACAGTGAGAGCTGCAGGGGGTGACACAGGGTCTGAGCCTCTGCTGCCAGCCCTCCCCTGGTCCCTGAGAAGATGCCATTTGTCCCAGTCACTTTTTCTGGCCATTTTAGGCAGCTTTGGTCCGAAGGAGTCAGCTTGTGCCTCTCCTTGGAGCAGTGCCACTCCCTCCAGAGGCAGGAGTGACCCTGCCGAGCTCGGGAAACCTGGGATGTGCCAGCCTGACACTAGGAACAGCCAGCCTGCACTGAACAGCCCTGAATCGCTGAGAAAGCACGAAAAGAAGAGATTCTGCTCTGCACACCCAGCAGCCCGAGGGGGAATGAGAAAGGAAAACATCCAGAGGCAGCAGACAAACACATCCTGCTGGGACGAGCGGGCTCCAGCCAGAGAAATCCATTCCTGCAGAGGAGGCTGAGCCCTCCCGGCCCGGGCTCTCACCTTGTAGCTGAGATAGGTGAGCAGCATGGTCTCCAGGAAGCTGATGAGGGCGATGCTGACCTGCAGGGACACACACGGGGGGCTCCAGGGCTCTCTCCAGGTGATGGGAGCCCCCCGAGCCCCCCCTGCCCCAGGTGGGGCAGAGCCCCCAGCCCAGCCCCTCTGGGCTCCTGCACACCCAGCAAGGGCTGCTCACCTGCACGGCCCACAGAGGGGTTTTCCTGTCCACCCAAAAGATGTGGGACCTGCAAAGAAACCCAGAGGGGATCTGAGCTCAGCTGTCAGGGTTTTCACCACCCCCAGTGCAAACCCGAGGCCATCCCGGACTCAGGAGCTGCTGCTCCCTCCTGCAGTTTGCTCAAGCAGCCCCTGCACTGGAATTCAGCCATTCCCAAGGGTGCACCCAGTGGATTTGGTTCTGGGATGCTGCTCCAGAAACAGCCTCAGGCAGCTGCCAGCAGAGCCACCACCATCCCTCTGCTCCCCCAGCCCGGCAGAGCTGACCCAGGGCCCTGAGCAGCTCCTACTCACCAGTTGATGTTGGTGGACTGGTTGAAGGCTGTGTAATTCTGCTTCTCACATTCCCAGCTGGGGAGAAAGAGCAGGGAAAAGCAGTCAGGGGGGAACAGGGATGCTGGGATTGACCCCCTGGCAGCATTTCCATGGATCCAGACACCCTGATCCTACAGCCAGGGCTTTGCACAGGAAAAGTCTCCCCCAGGCAGCCTTGAACATCTCATTACTGGAGGGCAAAACCCCTCAGGTGCTTCAGCCCCACCAGAGATGCTGAGGAACGCTGATTCTCCCTGGTGCTGCAGGGAGCTGGGAACTGAGGATTACCACGTTACAATCAGCACAATTTGCTGGGCTGCAGCTTCTGGGGCGAGGCTGGAGGTGCCCCCAGCACCCTGGCAGGCAGCAGCCCTGAGCTGAGCTCTGCCTGCCCTGCTGGGAGGGATCTGCTGCCTCTGGCCAGCCTTGCTGCTGCCACACTCCCTCAGGAAAATGGGATTCCCTGAGCTGCAGCTGTGCTGAGGCTCTCAGGGATGAGCATCCGTGTCCTGCTTCGCTCCCACAGGTCTGGAAGCACTTCCAGAACGTGCAGATGTGCTTGGTAGTCTGCAGCCTTTGCAAGGAGAAAATCAAATTGCCAATTATCCAAGCTCTTGGGGGGAAAAAAAAATCACATTGTACATGAGCTAAACGAAGCAAGGACACATTAAAAATAGGCTTATACTGAAAGCCAGCACAAAGCTGATGTGTGGAATCATCCATCACCTCAAGGATCTACACAGCACACTGTATTTCCCTCTCAAGTGCTTAAATGGGATTTGGTGTTAATATCCTCAAGGGTGTCAGCCCTCAGAAAATATTTGCATGGTGATGCCCTGGAGTGGCTGAACTCTCCCTGTGCCTGAAGGCCACGCTGAGCCCCTGACAGAGGCAGACAGAACTTGGAATGAACATGACCTGAATTTTTCCACCATGCTCTGCTCAATAGATGCCCCCACACCCATCCATGGGGTGTGAGCAGGGGCCTCCAGCCTGGGGAGTTTTGTTAAAGCCTCAATTCAAACAGCTGTGTGTGGGAATCTACAAAATTAGAGGGGTTTTTGCAGGCCTCAGAGACAGCAGAACTGTGATTAGAGCTAAGCAGCAGCCATGAGATAGGTCAGTAGAAAAATTATTTTAACTTTGCCTGATCAGCCTCCAACTGCTACACAGATGCTAACAGCTTGCAGTAAGCTCACTTCTCCACAACATTTACTAACATACAAGTCAATGCCTTAAGAAAAACATTAAAAAATCATCTGACACAACATAAAGATAAATTTGAAAAGCTCCTAGAAAAACAAGAAAAAATTTGAGAAAAATCTGTTAGTACTGTACAGTTAGAGTCTGATAAAAAGACTTGTTGCTTTGCTTTACCAATCACACAAAGCAAAAGCATGTTGATAGTAGCAATATGCTTTTTGCTTTGTGTGATTGGTCAAGAAGCTTATAAAGTGAGTTGTAACATTAAGTTCTGTGTCTGCTGCCTGGGATGTGAGCTGCTGGCATCTTCCCATTGTCACAACCATGTAATGAGAGTGATGCTGAAAGATAAAACAGCTCAAGGCACTGTTGCACAGCAGCCCCGTCCCATTTGTGTTAATAGATCTGTAAATAGCCCCCTGCCAGCGACAGCTCTGGGGGGGTGAAAAGCCCATCCCGAGCCGTAGCACAGCCCCAGGGAGGCTGGGGGCAGCTGGGGCTGGGGGCAGTGCCAGGGCTCTCCCTCTCTCTCCGGTCTCACCAGCCGATGCCCTCCTCGGGGTTGTCCAGCAGCACGCGCACGATGTACAGCAGGCACGTCAGCAGCTTCAGGGAGAAGTTGAAGAGCCGGATCCTCAGGCCTGTGGGAGGGCAGCAGGGATGGGGCAGCGCTTCTGGGCATCCCCACAGACCCCCAAACAGCCCCACAGCCCAGCCCCACAGCACAGGAGCCCCCTGATCCCCCAGGGAGCTGCAGCAGCGCTGCCCAGGCTTTGCCCAGCTCCACGTGCCCTGCCCAGTGCCACGGACACAGGAGGCAACACAGAGATAAATAACCACGAGCCAGCTCCCTGCTGACCCCAAAAATGGGAGAGAGACACGAGGAGCTGCTGCAGTGTACCCCCCTCATTAGCAGGCATCCACCTAAAAGCAGCAGAGCAGCACTGACCACATCACCTTGCAGGAGCAGGGATGGTGAGGAAAAGCTGCTGCTTCATCCACTCTGCCTCCCCAGCCAGTTCATGGGGTTATTACTCAGATTACAAGTGATAAATACATCACATTTTCATTAAAAACTTCCCCGTGGGCACCCTGGTGTGCTGCACTCCAGCTTTTTAGCAAGACAACAGGATGCAGGCGGGAGAAGAAAAGGCAAATTTATAAATGAACAAGCAGGCCCCCTCCAGACAGCTAATGACATCTCGGAGGAAGAAAATAAAAACACCATTAGTCAAGTGGAGACTAATCCCCATGGCTGGAGCAGGAGAAGGTAACTCACAGCCTGCCCTGGCTGTCCCCAGAGCCTCAGGGGGGCACAGCCAAGCTCCCTGATGGGGACATTGGTCCCTGATGGGGACATTGGTCCCTGATGGGGACACTGGCTCCCTGACACCCCCCTGCTCCCAGCCAGCTGTTTGTCACGCTGTGGCTGTCCCCAGGGAGCAGAGGTGGCGGGATGCCACAGACATGTTTTATGAAAAATCCTTTCCTTAAGATTTTTCCTCCTGAGAAGCTGAGAGCCCTCCAAAACAAAATGTAAACAATGGTTATTTGCTGCTGTGGAATGCAACAAATAAATCTGTGATTGGTCTCATGCAGTTGTTTCTAATTAATGGCCAATCACAGTCAGCTGGCTCGGCCTCTCTGTCCGAGACACAAGCCTTTGTAATTCATTCTTTCTTTTTCTATTCTTAGCTAAGCCTTCTGATGAAATCCTTTCATATAATATAATATAATATAATATAATATAATATAATATAATATAATATAATATAATATAATATAATATAACATAATATAAGTATTATATACTAATATAATATATATAATAAAATATAATATATATCATAAAATAATAAATAATATGTATCATAAAATAATATAATATATATAATAAAATGATAAATCAAGCCCTCTGAAACATGGAGTCAGATCCTCGTCTCTTCCCCCATCCTCGGGCCCCTGGGAACACGGTCACAGCGGGAGGGGACCTCTCCTCCCCACGGAAAGCACCCCCAAACCAAGCTGACAACAGCCAGCAAAGGGGCAGGAGGCAGCCCCGGGCTGGGGACACACGGGGACAGGGCCACCAGCAGATGGCAATGGCTTCTCATGCCGCAGGACGGAGCGCGGCTCTCCCGGCCCGGCCAGGGCTCGGCTCTCGCACCCCGTGCCCGCAGCACTCACTCGATCGCTGGTTTTTGATGAAAAAGAGCTTCAGCCGCTCCTTGAAGGTGTTCTCATTCACGTAGAACTCGACCTGCACCCTGCGGGGAGAGTCCCCAGCGGGGCCGTCAGTGGGGTGGCCGGGCAGGACCCCCAGGAGCCCCCCAGGAGCCCCTGGGAGCCCCCTGTGCCCCCATCCCCGCTGGGTGACCCCGCTGAATCCCACAGTGACCCCGGCTCGGGTGGGCTCCCGGCTGTCCCCACAGTCCCCAGCCAGCAGCATCACCAGCCAGGAGCCCCAGGGACCCCCAGAGCAGCCGATGTGACCCCCCCAGGGCCGGCTCTGCTGGGGACCAGGGCTTGGCTGCGGCTCACACACAGCCAGAGAGCAGAGACACAAACCCCTCCCTTCACACAACTTCAGAGCGGCCAAAACCTCCCGAAGAGCAGCAGCTCTGGAGCTGCCTCTCCCCATTTATCTGCTCCAGCAGAGCAGGAGCTGGCACAGACAATGTCCCCAATGTCCCCAGTATGTCCTGGCTCTGTCCGTGCCCTGCTCTGCCTGGGGAGGAGAAACAATCAGCACGGAAGCTGTAAAAAACCCAATTCCGCTGTAAACGGAGAAAATTTCCCTTTGTTGCTAAGATACCATTCTTGGTCATTCCAGAAAAACCCAGGAGCTGACAACAGGCTCCAAACACCGCCTGCCACCCAGGGCCACTGGTGGTGGCTCCTGGCAGGGCAGAGCGTCACCTGCCAGGGCATTGACAGCATCCGGCAGGGAGGAGCAGCAGGTGGGGCTGGAAATTCCCATCCCGCCTTCCCTGGCTCCTCCTGCCTCCCCTCGGCCAGCCCCACATCCCAGGGATGGGACAAAACCTCCCCGGGGCTGCATGGGGGCTCCTGCAGGCTCTGGGATGCTGCATGGAGGCTCCTGCAGGCTCTGGGATGCTGCATGGGGGCCCCTGCAGGCTCTGGGATGCTGCATGGGGGCTCCTGCAGGCTCTGGGATGCTGCATGGGGGCCCCTGCAGGCTCTGGGATGCTGCATGGGGGCCCCTGCAGGCTCTGGGATGCTGCATGGGGGCCCCTGCAGGCTCTGGGATGCTGCATGGGGGCCCCTGCAGGCTCTGGGATGCTGCAGGTAAAGGAGGCTGTGCGGGTAAAGCAGTCCCAGCTCAGCTCACCCGCCCCTCCTGGCTCTCTCTCATGGCCCGCAGCCCTTTGCAAAGCCAAATTCATCTCCCTGGGCTGGCGCTGCTCCTGCCGAGCGCCGGGGAAACGCCAGCGGCTCCTCCTGCCCCGGCTTTACACCGAGCACGGCAAACCCTGCTCCTCCCTGGCCGGCCACAGAGGAGTTCAGAGCCGTGGATTCCCCCGCTGGCTGCTTTCAGCAAGGCTAAGGAAGCGCTCCTGTCATTGCTCCTTTTCTAAATGCTGGCAAGAGGTCACCGAGCCCTCATCAGTCAGGTGCATTCCCCAGCCCAGGCAGAGATCGATGGCAGCAAATTCCTGGTGACAATCGCTGCCATCCCACCCCATCCCGCAGGTGCCAGATCCGACCAGATCCTGATTTATTGGGGCTGGAGGGATGAATATTTACCAAACATTCATGCCCAGCTGATCAGGCAGCAAATGGGGAAGGGGTTTCACAAGATCTCCGTCCCGGGCTCCACCCCAGCTGGGCCAAGGGGAGGGGAGGTGGCCAGAGGGGCTCTGCACCACACCTGGCTGGTGTCACCAGGAGAAGGGACAGCCCCAGGCCCCGCTGCAGGAGAGTTTACAAGCACGATGCTTGAGGAGCAAACAGCCTCAATGCAGAGCCTCAGAGCCCAGCCTTTACACCTGCTGAAATTAATCCTTCCCAGAGCCAGACGCCGCAAATCATTTTTTTCTGTGCCAGGGCATAAATCAGCTGTCACAACTGCTCACAATGCTGCACACGAGATAATTGCTCCTTCTCCTTATTAAAAATGGCCAGGAAGTGCTGGGAGCTGGCTTTCAGCTCCGGCAGCAGCACTGAGCACCCCATTCATCAGAGCCCCTGAGGATTGAGAGCCTTGAGGAGCTGCAGACTGCAGGGAGCACGATTCCTCTGCCAGACACTTGTCTGGGATCAAAGCAACAAACAGCTGAATAAATCTCTGCCATCAGACAGATGGTTCACTGATCTGTAGAGCTGTGGCCCACCTCGAGACAATGTCTGTAATTGCTGGTGGATAAAAGGACTAAATGATCAGATCTAACTCTCTGTGATAAAGTGGCCCCCGTATTCATCCATCCCATGGCTGCAGGAGGAAGGAACACTTGGAAAACAACAAAGCAACAAAAAGCCATGTCTTGACTGGGGGGAACAGGGTGTTTAACACTGCAGAGAGATGAGGAAATAAAAGAATGTGGAGGGAACATGTTCCTGTGCAGGTAACCTGCCGAGGCAGAGCCCCAGATCTTTGTGGGGCCCCACTCTGCAACACCCCACAGCTGAATGAGGGATGGCTCTTCCCAGGCAGCAACACCATCCCAAAGTATCAAAGCTCCTACTCCATTTCCAGCTGAGGGAAGGAGATGATATCGTGTAAAACATACCCTTTAATTTCATTGTCAGGAAGTTAACTGGGAGTAAGAATCAAGCAAAACTCTGACTGCATCATCACCACCCCAAAACACACCGTGACAGCTCTGCCTTCACAGCAGCTCAGCCAGGATGGGGTGCTCAAAGTGTCCCCTCCCTGCTGCCATGGCTGGGCATCCTTCCCATCCTGGAGCATCCTTTTCCCACCTGGAGCATCCTCCCCATCCTGGTGCCAGCTCATCCCAGACCACTCCAAGGGTCCCCAGCTCCACAGTTCCCCCACCTTGCCCCCACTGAACCCCCCCCCAGGCCATGCAAACAACGATGCTGGTACAAGTTTAGTTCCAGCCCTCTGCTTGGAAGTGTAATTACTGCTATTATGCACTTCATAATGCCTGAGCGACTTCGTTTTCTTCGCTCGGTTATTTATTGTACTTTATTAATCTAAGAGTAGAGGCAATTTGTTGTAAGATGATGAGTTCCCAAAAAAAGACACAATAGTTTGTTCAGAAAAGTGCAGGATGAAAGGGCAGGAGGAGCACATCACAGCCCACCAGCATTAAAATAGGCACAGAGGGGCACAGCCCCTGCTCCAGCCTTTCCATTTCCCCAGAGCTGGGGCAGTTCTCACAAAAAGGAGGAAAACGCAAAAAATACGAACCCATACAGGGATTTCTTGTCCCAGGAAGCTTCTCAAGGATTTTCTCCCATCATGTAGCAGGATGCAAACAAGACTTCTGAATTTTTTCTGGGGGGAAGTACCTACCAAACCAGCAAAACCCCAGAAATCTCCAATCTGGTGGGTGCCAGCAGCCACCTCTGCCAAGGCAGTGAAAGTGAGACCCCACCTCACCCCTCCAGTCCAGCTGAGCTCAGCTGACAGCTCTGCACCGTCCATGCAAACCCACACGGATCAAACCCACAGAAAATGTGGCTGCACCACGCTGGAATTACAGAAATGTGCTGCTGGCCCAGCTGGGCTCCCTGGGGACTGGCCGTGGGTACCAGACACAGCTCAGAGGAAGGAGAGGAGCAGGGCTGGCAGGGCAGGTCTGCAGCATTTCCTCTCCCAGCAGCCCCAGGAGGCTGTGCAGGATGCTCTGAGGGCACCGTGCCATGGCCAGGCTGCCTCCAGCCCTCGCTCAGCACCGGGAGCAGCCGGTGCCAGCTGGAACCTGAGCACAGCCAAAATCCTTCCCAAATGAACCACAGAACCTGCCAGGCCGGGGCTCAGGTACCTGCTGATGAAATTCCCAGGCAGATCCAGCCCTCCTGCTTCCCTTTGGAATGGTTTTCCCTTTCCCCCACCATTTTTATGATGGTGTTTGGACACAGGGGCTTCACCAGACGGGTGCCACGGGCGAGCCGTGTGCCCTGTGTTTGCCATCCTCCATCCATCCCCAGTGAGCAGAGGATGGGACAGCTCCAGCCCTGCCCAGCAGAGCTCCCAGAGCAGGGTTTGGGGACAGGAATGGGAATTGCTGAGCAGCTGTGTGCACACAGACAGCCTGGGCGCCTGCCAAAGGCAGCACAGGCAGCGCAGAGCTGCCCCCGCAGTAATTGAACAATTACTCAAAGGAGGAGGAACGGCTTCAAACCCAGGCAGGGATGGCTCCAGGGGCTTCTCCTGCCCTGCCAGGTCCCTCACGGGCTGGGGGAAGCTTGGGCTCACCCTCCTGGCGGGATGGAGCCCTGCCCAGGGCTCTGCAGCCGGGGATGTCTCGGATTCTCAGGGACCATGGAGCACCCGGAGCGCTCCCACTGCGGCAGCTCCTCCCGGGAATCTGGGGCACGTTTTAAACAAAAGAGCACAAAACAGGCAGGGAGGGATGGGCAGCTGGGGCTGGCTGTGCCTGCTTTGGGGGTTGAGCCCCTCTGCCAACGCTGCTGATCCATGGAGGGAAGGGGAGAGGGGGGATCTCTCAGGGGGGATTGCAGGTGCTGGGGAGGGATGGGACAGCACTGGGGACACCACTGGCAGGGCCAGCATGGTCCAACAGGCCAAATACTGCAAACAGGGCAAATCTGCCCACTGTCAGTGAATTTTCTCATCCCACATCCCTTAGTAGGGGCATCACTGAAGCTGCTCTCCCCCTCATCCCAGAATCCCAGGTGATCCTCAGGGATCACAGCAGCACCCAGCCCCGAGGAGCTCAGCAGGTCCCACACCAGCCTGGGACAGGCAGTGTCACATCCACCATGGCAATGGCACTGTGCCACCATCACAGCCACAACTATGCCACCATCACAGCCACCATGGCACTGTCAGAGTGACCACAGCACTGCCACAGCCACCATGGTACCACCACAGTCATTGTGGCACTGTCACAGCCACCATGTCACCATCACAGCCACCATGGCACTGCCACAACCCTGCCAGGAAAGGCAGCTGCCCCTCCTGGCCCCTGCAGCACCAGGAATGATTTCCCTGCTGAGGCTCATCCCAGACCATGACCAGCAGGATCCAGTCCCACATCAACCAACGCTGCCCAGGGAGCCAGGATGCTGTGGCACATCTTGACCCTCAAGC